TTCCACGGTACTCCCCTCACCTTTTTCCACTTTTGTGTCTGTCTCTTTTACATCTTTAAAACTCCCTTCTGTACCCCCTCTCCCTCTCGACTTGTTTCACTTTGATGTTCCTCCTCCTCTGTGGAGCCTGAAGTCAACAAAAGGGCTAATGATAACTTTCACAACGCCTGTCATTTGATATAAATAAATAAATATTAGTCAAAGATGCTGGCAACAATTTTAATAATGAGAAAAATTGAACATATAAAGTCGAAGAGGTCAAGCGTCATTTTGTGCTTCCTTGAGTGTATCTAGATATTTGATAGAAAGCAGTTAGATGTGAGACTAATCAGCGATAACTTCTCGCGGTTAGTCAAACCACTAGGAGACAAGGATGGAACATTTTTATCACCCTTCCATGTTATTTATTAACGCTAATAATTTATTGATTTTACACTGTTTATTACCTTCTGCATAAATGGGATACATATTACACCTCCTCTGAATGTCAAAAAGTTAATCAAAGCCCTCAATTATTTAGCACATTTACTGTTTTTTCTTTAATACAGTAAATTTCTATCGAGCCCCTGAAATCACCCATTTGGATTAGCGTCGCCTCGATAGGAATTCAACATCTACCGTAACGATTGACGTAAACACATTTTCAATGGATTAAGTTAATTTAGTTTGTAATAACAAAAAAACACTTATTCTACATCTGTCAGTCAGACAGGTAGTCAGTCTTTCTCATGGTGTGAAATTTACAGTGGGGTCACTATCAAATTAGCTAAATTTAACTTATCTAAAGAGTTTGCCATTTTCTTATGAAACCCCTCCAATTAGCAAAGAATTAGATCAAAAGTGTCAGTGTGTCAAACTCTTAAATTAATCAATAGAGGTTGAGTGACTTGTCGTTGAAATTCTGAAATTTAAAGTTAAGGAAGTGAAGATTAGTCGGTATATATGCTTTATAAATTTGAACTTGTGCTAGGTTCCTCTTTCTTTTGATAATAATTGTAGTAATTCCGTGATAATTATTTTACTACTATTTTTACACAGTAAAAAGTAGATAGGGAATGATTTATTAGCAACTATATGAATTTAATTATTTATTCAGAGCGCGGCATTTTGGTAACAAATAGCCTTATTAAAACGACTGAAATGGAAGAAAATAGGCCATTTAAAGCATCTTATCGCCTTATTCAAACTGACCTTGAGAGGTTTGGCCCCACCCAGCGACTGCGCAGACAGTTCCAGCTTCAAACTCCTCTCCCGGATAGGGTAGACAGGCAGGTCTCACGTTTCTATTGAACCTGACGGGTTTCTTCAACTTCAGTAATGCGACATCATCTTTGGCGTCGAAATTATTTCCCATTGCTGAAACTGGACAGTGAATAAAGTAAATTATTCTGTAAATTGAATTAGCTCAACTCTCCAAACAAAATTGAGCACACAAAAATTTGTTTTAATTTTTCTTTTTAAGAATCTATTTCCTTACTGACTTTTATTAAGAATTAATGTCTGAGGTAACGCAAAAAACAAATTGATAGAGCTTTAAAATCAATTAGAATCAATTAAATATCTTAATTTGTAATAATTAAATGAACCCTGAATAAACTCAGGCTATTGTTCTTTATGATAAAATAGACCAAAATAGTCTTTGTTACATATTTCCCCTACTAGTACAGATTTTTATTAGTCTATTTTGTTAATATACATTTTAATTTATTTCCTATTTTAGCATAAGCAATACATATAAACATGGAAATACTATTAATTAATATTAATAAATTTGCGTGTGTGCGGTCAATGCAAATTAACCCTCAGGAATAAAAAAAATTTTTCCCACTAAGTTATATTTGGTTAGATGAAATAACAATGATAGCGAAGTCAGGAAACACGTGCCAATAAAAGTCCAGAATCTTTTCATTCAAACTATTTTTGACATTTTTTTGAAAGTTTATTATATTTGGTGATTAATTCGACCCGTTGATTTTGATTTTTAAAATAGGAGAATTAGGATCTTAGCACACAAACGTTCTCTAATAATATTTTTACGTTTTTATTCATGGTTATACTGCGGTTTAATAGCCCTGGTCGCGAATAATTTCGTAAATTTTTTTTCAAAGTCAAATGAATTTACCTTATCTTGTTTCAAAATCGAAATTGTATTTGGTAATGACATTTGCCCAACTCAAGCTACAAAAAGACACAAAAACAAGGAAATTTGATTGAAACCAGAAAAAATCATTTCTTTTTAGTAAGGGGAGAATTTTGCAACTACTCTACCCAACAGAAACTAGTGATTTTGTTATAATTGAAGCATACTTCACCACCAACGAGTAAGCAGCACAGTACTAAATAGAGGTGCCAAAATACAAACACAGCTAGAATAAGATGTCTTCATTGAAATTGTGGACCTCAACGTGAGGGGTATTTAACATCCTGTTAGTTGGGGTGTGCGATAGACTTACCTCCACGTGGTGCACCCTGGGCAACGTATGCTCATACGGCAAAAAAGTCTATTAACTAGCAGTTGACTTCTGACTTCAAATTACCATCACTTCACTCTATGCCATATTTGACTATTTCCACAGTGCTCATCTCACCTTTTTACTACCTTTGTGTTTGTCTCTTACATCTGTGAAACACTCCTCTGTTCACCAACCCCCCTCCCTCTCGACTTTTTTCAATTTGATGTTCCTTCCCCTCTGTGAAGTCTGAAGTCAACTAAAGGGCTAATGATAACCATCAAGACGCCTGCCATTTGATATAAATAAATAAATAAATTGTAACTAAAACAATACCAATAGATACATCCCATATTTTAGCAAAATAATTTCCAATATTTCAATAACCATGCTTTATAGCCCGTAAATTGAAACGGTACCAAATTTCAAACTCAAAACTGTTCATCAGCTTGTCCGAAGAAGCGTCTAATCAAATTTTATCCTCAAGGCCGCTAAAAAGAAGCATTTCTGAAAACAAATTGCATATGCTAATTTTCTGCAGCGCATAGAATCAGAAAATTGCCCATTTTTCAGTATTATCCAATAAGGTTAGACATTTTATTCAATGGAAGGTGGGGAGGGTTATCAGCTTCCGTTTTCGTTAATGGAATACCGAAATCTTCGCCTGTCCAATTTCAATCAAAACGTAAAGTGTTTTTTTTCCATAAATGCGCAACAACGAACATCGAAATCTGACATCGAGGCAAACAACGATTGCTAGGAGTGACCCTTTTAACACTTTGAGCCCCTCCCCCCCCCCCTGTATTGATCGCTTTGGACTGAACGCTTCGAATGATGAAAACTACCCTTAAGACTGGCAACTAGCTGTTTAGATGGAAAATCAATATTATTCAAATAAAAAGACATTAGTGCACAATCCGTTTCCAATCACTCAGAGTCAAATAATTTCAGGGAAGTTCAAACAAAAGACGATAACATCAAGAAACGAAAGCTTCTACTGAATAAAACAGATTCGCCTAACTATGAAGCGTGGACCCTCAACCGATCTAGTGCGCGTATTTATAGAAGTCTAATGCTTGACTAAAAGAGACAGACGCCACTTCTA